TCTCCCTTCTCCCTTCTCCCTTCTCCCTTCTCCCCTCTCCCCATTCCTCCGTAGGCCAAAACGACAAGCGAAACCTGCCGCAGACGAAGGCTTTTGGGATTGTAGCGTCTGCACCTTCAGAAACAGCGCGGAAGCCTTTAAATGCAGCATCTGTGATGTGAGAAAAGGCACCTCCACCAGGTACTTGAAGATCTGTGTTCCCTTTTGTTAAAGGACTTTTTGTTTTTAAAGGTGGGAAAGAGGGTAGTGAGCTATTCATTTTGCCCTTTTTCCAACTTGTTGATTCTGGCTTTTTCTGCATTTGTGGGGTCGGTGATGTGTGGCTTTGGTTGTATTTCGTTTTGGGTGCATAGCCTTGTGTTGAATAAGTGATCCATGGTTTTCGTCTTATTTCAGACACTGAGTTTATTTTATACTTGTTTGCATTGGCTCATAAAGAGAGGAAACAGTACTTTTGCTATGGATTGTAGGACAGAAGACGTTTTCTTCTTGCCATGCGCAGAATGTTTTTAATTTGCCTATCTTGAATTATTTTCTCTGAGAAATTTAGTGTTGGTTGTACAGTAATGCTGGTTGTGCTTTTCCTGTCTTGAGCTGCAAACGTTTATTTTCTTGCGCTTAAAACTATATATTCAGCTTTGATAAAGAAAGTGCATTTTTTGGAAGGCCAAGCTGTCAGTTTGGTGTGTTTTTTTCTGATTAGATTATGCAAAGTGCTGATGGAAGACGATTTTGCAAAATGGTGTAATGAATTATGTGACTGTATTGTAGTTTGTGTTTAAAACTTTATTGTAATGAAAAGAATGTTGAAAGAATTTCTTTTCATTTTGGCGAAGGTAGTAAACTGCACCTGGTATCAAAAGTTGCACTCCAGATTTAGCATTTAGATATTCTAGGGCTAAATGTCAAAGCTGATTTTGTAGTCTTCCGGCCATCTTTTGACGTATGTCTTGAATTTGTTTCACTGATGTTAAAGTTTGAAGTTAAAACTATTCTTGAGGTCATATAATGTGCAGACATCGGGCTGTGTGTGTGAAAGTGAGACAGAATGAGTGAATTTCTGGTGGATCCTTGAAGACTTTGTTTCACTGGAACTTGTTTCTGAGTTGGTGGCATTCCAATAGGACTGTGTGGTAGTTAGTGCTCTATAGTTTAACTGGGTATTGTTCTTTCACTAAGCAAATGTGTCTGTTAGGATGCCATTGCTTTATTTATACCTGGGATGAAATAGGATATTGGGCAACCCCAAGAATATAGTGAAGATATTTCACTGTAAGTTTTTAAAGTAAATTCATGTCAGTTTTTTGTATTATATAGAATAGGTTTATTTAGTTAAAATAAAAACACTCATTGTGAGCTTAATAGATTTTGTTTTGCTATCCAAAACAGGGAATTCCACCAAATGGCATGAAAACTTAGAAATGTATGTGTTATTTAAAGCAGCAGCGATTGTATTTTATTTATGAGTAATTTTTTTTACTTGTAGAATCCCTCAGAGGCCATAGCTCTTTATTGTGGTTTTGCTTTGAGTATTACCGTAGATGATGCTCAGGTCAGTGACTTAGGAAACTCCTAGGGACTTGAGAACTGTACTGGTGAAGAGAAACTCACACCAGATTCACACGTTTGCACCTGATGTGATGCTGGGAAGAATTCTGTCATCATGAAATGAATTTCAGCCTCTACATGTATTAAAGCTCTGACTCATCAACTTTTTGGAAGCACGTGAAACATTTTCACTTTAAAAACAATATGGGTGTTTAAAGTTTTTTCAGTCACAGATGATGACAGTGAAATTCAGTTTTTTAAGTAAACGTTAAATTATTAATGAAAATATTTTAGAGTCTGTTCAGGAACAGGATACTCACCTACTATCTTTAAAGATCTTTGTGTAATTTTTTTGGTGTTGAGTAGGCTTTGAACACAGATTCCAGAGATGTGAGGCTTAAAGTCTTACCAACTCGTAATAGATAGATACCCTTACATAGCCTAAATTTGTTTCATTTTGGTTATTGCCAGTATTTTGGTGTTTTAGAGCTATTCTAGAAGTCGTCACTAATTGGAAGGCAAATATTTGTGCTTCATGTGGAAAGGTTAATTTCACAGGTTTGCATCCTATCCTATTTAGTGTATTGGTCAGTTTTTCTGGTCCTAGTTATTGCATGTTTTTTCCTGGGCCTTTTTCTTGCAATTTTCTCTGTACCGCAAAGGTTTGACATTTTCTGCCTTGCATAATGTTTTAGTCGGGCTTCGTACTGATGGCAGTAGAAAGCAGAAAGCTTGTTGCTAGGTTTTGGACAGTGGGTAATAGGCAAAAATATGTAATTTTTAGAATAATTTTTAAATAATAAAAGAGTTTTTCTAACCTGTTGACTGGCATAGAAAATGGATGTTGTTGTTTTGAGATGTTTCATTTTAGAATATCAGCTGGTTGGCTAGTCTGGTGATTTTTGAGTTAGTTCATCGTTCTTGTCATTTTTGTTGTCATCATTTACCAACCAAAGAAGCCGGCTTTTAATTAGTGGCAGTTCAGTAGGACACAGCACTGTATTCATCCTCTGAGGGTAGAATTGATATGCCTCAGTTTGATTAGGAAAATACTACCACTCATCCAAAGAACATTTTTAATATTCTCAGGATGTGAATGGTACTGCTCAGGACATTGGGGAGAGGAGGACAGTGTTGAAAGTTGGTAAGCCATTTACCAGAATGGCCATACTCTAGGTTATAAAGGCCCTCAGAGAGGTATAAAAAGCTGTGGGAGGTCAGAGGAGTCTGGCTTGGGATCAGTTAGGAGTCCGCCACGCTCTTTATTTCTTCTGGACAGGAGAATTGATTCTACAGAATTACCTGCCAGCTCTTCACTATTACTGCCATATGTACCAGGTACATTTGATTCTGCAGATGGAGTCATGGAAGTGATTCCAAAGGTACTTACTGTTCCTTTTGGAGTAGCTAGAGCAGAATGAGAGGAAGGCCAGAGACTCCTGAGGAACATGTTCCATGAAGGAGGAGGGAATTCTTACAGACCCCTTACATTTTGGGTGTGTTATCAGTTCTGTGTTGGGCCTCTACCTCTTGCTGGTTATTTTTTATAGCTTTATGGAGGTATAATTTACATAAAGTTCACCAATTGCAAGTGTATAATTCAGTGATTTTTAGTAATTTTGAAGAGTTGTGCAACCATCCCTGCAAACCATTTTAGAACATTTCCATCTCATGCCTGTTCTGTGATATACTTTTAAGTCTTTAACACCAGCACACAGAGGAGCAACCTGCAGTTGGGAAAGTTACCTCCACCTACCGTGCTGATGGACTCTAAGCCTTTCAAGCTAAAAGATAAAGGAGTGTGTATGTAAGGTGGTGATAGGTGGGGAAGAAACACTATCCCTTCCTAGGTAATAGCTAGTAGTATTTCGTAGCCCACTTTGCCAGGTTCATGAAAGAGTATCCAGCTTTTAAAAGAAAAACAATCTATAAATTTGAAAATTGGAGTTCTTGAGTGTTGGGCAGAGTAAGTATATTTTACTTTTAGCCTTGTTATTTCTCTGAATGCAGTGATGTCTTTATTGTAAAATAAAAATTACCAAGACTTTGCAAGTCTTGCTAATAAATGGTTTTTGGTAATTGGACTGTATCTAACTTGCAGCTATTGCTTAAACCACACTCACTTGAAAACTTGGGTGTTTTTTGCTTTGAGTAATTACCATAGATTTAGAACTTATTGGTCTTCAACTCCAGATTTTATCATGATGTTGAGTTGAAATCATGTTTTATTTAATCCCTGTTTATTTTAATACTATCCGTCTGAAAATCGTACTGGTTTTAGAGATTTTACAGACAAGTAAAAGTCAGGAATATACTTTAGATGTGCAATAAGATTGTGTAGCTTAATAAAAAAGTTTGTACTTAGGATATTGAATTGGAAGTTGGTCATCAGTTGTTTTGTGTGTAAAATGTTTTCCTTGTTTTCTCATTGTTTGCAGTTGTAATGTTGGACTTTTTCTCCTGTTAAATTCCGATACTCTGACAACTCAAAGTCTCTTTAGGGGTCATGAAGTACTTTAGAAGTTATAAGGGAAAGCACACATAATTAATGATAATGTCACATTTTGATTTTTGCTGAAGCTTCAAAAACTCATCATCCTGTAGTACTTTTCAGATAGGAAAACTCCGAGAAAGCAGAGGGAGTAGCCTAATATGGAGCAGAAGAAGTCTCTTCTCCAAGGTTCTGGGTCATCTACCACTGGGCTTTTGCTCCTTAGGTCCCATTGATTTTGTTACAGGGTTTGTCTATCATAAAATTTCTTCATAAAATATATAGAAAATTACCTGTCTTCCAAATTTTCAAACCTTGTCAAACCTCAGCCTCAAAACTGGTATAAAAGCTGGGTCAATTACTCTCACCCAGAAACGGTGTATTTGCTGTGGCATTGAACCTACCGATTTATTGGTACTGACTTGATCTTATGTATACTTGGTGACCTTAAAGTAAATTACTGGGTAGTTGTGGTTATTTGACAAGTTTTTATTGAGCGCACAGCCATCTGGGCTCTGGCTACAGTAGTATACAGACAGATAAGGTCCTTGTTCTTGCGGAGCTTAAAATGCTATGGAGAGAAAGAGAAAATATGCAAGTAAACAAAAATAAGATAATTTCAGCTAGTGGCAAATGCTACAAAGAATTAAAAGCAGGATGGGGAATTTCAGAGTGATGAGGACTGGGTGGAGTGACCGCTTTATAGATTGCAGAGACACATTTGCCTTTTTAGGAAATACTAATGCTGCTTTCTTTTGGAACAAGGATATAGTTATTTCTGTATGTTTACCTGTGCCATTTAGCTCATTTTTGGGGGAACAGTTTAGAGTTGGAGCCTTTGTACACAGCTACTTGACTTTTTTTAGTTGCATGTCACAGACTAAACAAACCTAGACCAGCTAACTTGCCAGTGTATCTTACTAGTTACTAGGTAGGAGGCTCAGAATGGATTCAGTTGTGTATTTGTTAATGCGGCATACTTTTACTGTGTGCTTCCGTAGATGCTGAAGAAATTTTAAGATTATTAAAAACTTTCTTTAGTGGCTATAATTTACCAAGATAGTTATCAGCACTAATTTAGTTCATTAGTATGTTAGGTGCCAGTCTCTAAATGCCTGCTTTCCCACTTGAACTAAAACAT